AGAAGAGTATGAGTAGTGAAGAAGATAAGATAGTGGCTATTAGAGGAAATAGCTTATAGGCCAAAGGCACAGAGAATTCCGCTTCAATAACATGATTAGGGTGCTGAAATAGGGCATTAGTGAAGAAGCCTGAGCCGACCCCTATAAATGCTTCTTGACCTATAAACCCGAAGAAGAGGCTAAAGACAGCCAAGATGAACAATGGTAGAGCCATAACTAGAGAAGGTTCGTGAGTACCCATGTAATTAACCTTAGGTCCATTGGGTTTGGTTAAAAAGGTTAAGTATAGTGAGCGAATAGAGTAACCCGCTGTAAATGCAGCTGCTACAGTAGAGAGCCAGTATGCTCCAGCCCCGCTGAATGAGTAGTGTCCATAAGTTGAGGAAAGAATCAACTCCTTTGAGTAAAATCCTGTGAGGAATGGAAGAGCCATTAAGCTAAATGACCCAATTAACATCAGTATATAACAGAAAGGTAAGAGTGAGAGCAATCCCCCATATTTACGTAGGTCCTGCTCATCTTGAAGAGCATGAATAACAGCCCCAGCGGATAGAAAGAGCAACGCCTTGAAGAAGGCATGATTAACCAAATGAAAGAGAGCCGAATTGTATTGAGAAAGCTAAACCTTAATCACTAAACAACTTATCAAGTTCAGTAACTAATCCTTTACGGATTGGAAAGCAACTTATAACCCAATTCGATAGTGGAATATCGGGTGTAGATGAGGGTTTCCAATATTGTGGTATTTAGGGAAATCTGGGGGCTTTACCCCCCTCTAGGTATTGCTATTCTATACTGATTATCCTTGCCCTTCTTAGGAATAGAATCGTACACTGAACTTGTCCAATAGGATAGGAATAAGCTTATTAACTTCATCTAAAGTAAAGTTGTCTGTACATAAGCTTATTCTTCCACCCTTAGGTTTATCATAGGAACCATCACCAGCAACCCAATACACTAGAGCAATAGGAGTAAGTAACTCATAAATGAGTATCTGGTAGGATTTTCACAGTTTTCCGACCTTTATCACCAACTTGTACCAAATGTTGTAGAGTTTAGTAACAAAAAGGTAGAGTGAAGGTTTGGAAATAGGCCATCTGTGTAGTCGTATTTGTACGTTTGTCCAATCTAGTCAATACTTCCCACATTTTTGTGACTATCTGATATCCCTTACAGATATCCCATAAATAAGCTACGAATTCTTGATGCTTCTGCTGTACGGATAATAAGGCGTGATTACCATGCATTCTAAGAGATCCATCTCCAACCATTAACCCAGTCATAATCTCTGTAAATGAACCAGGCAAGTTCTCAGGAATCTCTATCTTCGCACTGGGTGATACGTAAGATCTGAAAAGGGAAATGGGTACTTGGAACATATATAGAGCGGTGCACCTATCCATATCAAGATATCCAGGTAATAAGCTATTTAGTGATTAGTCCGGACTATCTCTTCATTCTGACTTGGATATAATCAGAATACACCACGTATAGTCTCTGAGGTAGCCTACTAACTCATGTTGGTTTCCTGCTGATTGTTCCTATTATAGACTTTTCAGCATATAGTGGTGTTATCTTTAATACTTAGACTAAAGACTGAGGCCTTTCTGACCACAAGCCACCATAAGCATTCCTAATTGGCTACATGTTGAGTAAGCAATAACTCGTTTAAGATCGTTTTGGAATAGGCCGGTGCTACCCGCCATAAGAGCCGTTACAGATCCGATCCAAATAAGAAGGAGGAGAGCCGAGTCAGATAACTCTAACAAGGGAGAGACCCGGAGAAATAAGAAGACTCCTGCTACTACCATCGTTGCTGCATGGAGAAGGGCAGAAACAGGAGTAGGCAAAATGAAGTTACCATGGATCTTGCGATCTATGAATCCCCTAATTAGATAGAGGTTTGGACTATATCATCAGAGGAGTCTCTCTGGATTGCGTGTAGTCTCTGAGGAGGTAGAAGGGATCTCCTATCTATATCCTGCTGGTTTGCTTGCGGGGGCTCATACGGGGGGCCCGGCCCCTTGGGCCGCATCACTCAAGGATTTTTACCTTACAAGGTACCTTAAGGCGGTTAAGCAGTTCCAACATATAGCAATCTGTTCGAGGGTTTAACGCTCCTCTGGAGGGCCCTTAGGTTCCTGCCAAGTTCACTCTGATATTCTAGTCGGTGGGGGATCTATAGATCCCGGGCCGTAGGCCCGCCCCGGTCTACCCTAATTTGTACACCATCTCAGGAAACGGAAGAACGAGTGATCGAAGGCGCTCCAGGTTTGCAGTTACTAAATCGGATACGATTGATAACAGAGCAATCCCCCGGAAGATAACCGACGCTGAGGTGTAGCCATTAGCCCAAATTTCTCTTGAAGTACAAGAATCAAGAGCAATACCTCTTCGTGAGTTATCGGTGCAGATAACAACCGTGCCCCCCAGCGCTATCCCAATACCCGTCTCCCATTTAACTAAACAGAATAGAACCGGTAGTAGGGAAGATTGTCAATAATTACAAGCCTAGTTTATAAGCCATAGAAGGGTGCATATAAGGGTTTACCAATTCACGTAGACGGGGCACACTCTTAGAGTTGATTCTATACTGGCGTTTTTTTGCTTTGTGGTGAAGATTGCTATCCAAACTTAAACCTTAGAACATTACATAGTATTCATCGGTACATAGGAGAAGCCCCCTCGATAAAAGAACCATCATTGCAAATCCAATGAGCAAGGCCAACAACATTACGATAATCCCAAACAAGTTGAAAAGGAACTAGCTTTACACCATTAACATAAATGATCTTAAATAGTCAATTATGAAAGGGTAAGCACGAGTCCTAAACCGTATATTGTCCCCGTAGCATGAAAATGAAGTTTTGGCATGCGGCTTGCTATGCTAGGGGCTAAAGCCCCGGGGGATCTATGGCTGCTCCTTTGCATACCAAGCATACCAAGCAAAAGATTGACAGAAGTGACATAGGAGAGAGAACACTTGCCAAAAATAAGGGAACCTTTTTAATGAGAGTTGAAAAGGAAATATGGCGTTCCAAGTGGGACGGGTTCTGCCTATATAACCATCCCCTAGAATAAGACCGATTAGCCTACCCAGAAGCTGAGGAGCCATTGCTGTTGAGGCACGCATGACACTAGTCAAAACTACCCTCGTGGGGCGGGGGGTAAAGGGGGGCCGGCCTCTGAAGCCGGGGGCTCCTTGGAGGCCCGGGGGCCAAAGCCCCAAATAAGAGCCCATCTGACAAGGGCTGTAGTTCGAACATCAGAAACGGTAACCTCTGTTGATTTTCATCGTTAAGTGATATACCGAGTATCATTGGCAACCCAAACCCCATATGGGAAGGGGCTGCTAACTTGACACAATACCCTTTCTCTACTATGATTCATCAACTAATTAGTCATGCTAGCAACACAAGATTAAGCGGGGAAACAATTCATACCTAACACTCTAATTTGAACCCTTATCCCCTGAGCATCAGCCAATGGACTAAACCTCCAGGAGTCAATCACTCAGCAATGTTAGCCGGAACGAACTTGATGAATCGCCCATCCACCAGCTTATACCACTGGTATGGAGATTGGTCAAGGCCAGAAGAGGTAGGCCAATATTGAGTAGGAGCTTTACCGGTCTTATCAGGGTTAGGGGGCCCCCGGCTTCTTGCTCCCGCGCGAAAAGGGAAGAATCGCACATAGAATCGACCGATAATACCTAAGAGTGACCCAGAAAAGAAGTATACAGAAGAGAACTTGCCCTTTCTCACCCTCCATGGCCTGAGGAAGCCAAGTGTGCAAGCCAATTTGAGCACTTTTCGCCATAGCTCCGACCAGTAACCCAATTCCTATTAGAGAAATGACACCTGGATCAATTAAAGGTGCAATGGTGAACAGAGTTGAAAACTCTAGAGAACCAGTGACCCAGAATATGCCGAATAAGGCTAACATTAATCCCCAATCCCCAATTCGATTCATTATTATGGCTTGGAGAGCCGATTTAGTAGCTTGAACTCGGGTAAACCAATAGCTTATAAGTAAATAAGAACAGACTCCAACCCCCTCCCACAACCTTATTAACTGGGGCCTCTTATTCATGCTAGGGGCTAAAGGTGGCCTTACGGGCCCCAAGGCCTGCCTTGTCTAATAACGGGGGGCTTCAGATAAGCCCGTGCTTTACCAGCCCGCAACCTATTGAATTGGGCTTACCCTCACAAATCTTGTGGCTTATAAGCCATCGAAGGGGGCATATAGGATACTACAAGCTCCCGCACTTTGGGTAGCTCTCGCTTAGCTATGAAGATAGCCCACTGATTACCGCGTCGGCTCTCTAACCGAGATTCTATACCGAACTTCGCCTTTAGAACCCTAATTAACACCTCCACCTCTTCCTTCGTGAACGCGTTGGTGTGAATGAGCAAGCCACCCTGGGTCGCCAATCCAATATGCTAGACCTACACCCATGAGAAGATCGGCTATGTTACCCGGAACAATCTTAAGCCCATCTAAATAGAAGAGCTCCATCAAGTAACAAAAAGCAAGGAAAGCATAGTGTTTTAATTGTTAAGCTATTATCTACCTTACCAGGTCGTTTATCTGGCTTCCAATCAGTGGCTCGAGTGGGCTACCAACAAAGGCAAAGAATATACCATATAAAAGGTAAAGATAATCTGAGTGTGCCTCAGACTGGTCAAATATGACCCTAGTATTCTGTTCAGAGTTCGCTCTATCTGCTCTGAGAACTCCTAGCATGAGTCCAATTGGAGTTCATAATGAAGAGAGTTGCATGTCTTGCTTATAAGCCTTGGGGTTTGTTTATGCTTGGTATGGTTGCTATCATAGCAACCATAGCAAGGGGGCATGCTACCTAACTTTAAAGCCCTATTTTATAAGCATACTTGGGTGCATAGAGTCCTTGAGTAAGGATCTGAACCTCTCTACATCCGAAACAGGTATATACTCTAAACCGCTTTAACTTATCACCTTGACCTTGTACTCTAGAATTCAATCCCAAAGTAGAATTGAACTTCAATCCGAAACTAACAGGATCGACTACCTTTAATGTAAAGGATTCTGTGTGAAGCCTACTAAAGAGCCGAAGAGCCCCACCCAGTAATTACCATCGCACATTATCCAGTATGCCAAAGCCCCCGCCCGGGTTAAAAGCTCAACTATCTGTTAGAATCTTCTTTCCGTTAAATCAGTTGCTATAGAAAGCAAAGCAAGGGAATCTAAGGGTTGAGAACTCACAAATATTCAATTCAATTCTTGTGTATTAAATACTTCGCCCTTATGAATGGGGGCTACAACGAAAGGCTTCAAATAAAGAGTACAAGTGTGCTGCTCCTTTGCACAACAAAAGAGTATTGGTTTAAGGAGTGACTGTTAAGCAAAACCACTGTTTGTGGTAGGTTTAACCTAAGCGTCACCTAAAATGAGCCCGATAATAACCTCGTGTAAAAAGGGGAAAAGAAAAGGGGTTACAGTTATACTGTCCCTAAAGGCCCGTGTGTACTTTGGATTTACCCTTATCACGCTTACGCTTGCCATTGGATTGCTTAGTAGCATCCTTCGGGGAGGGCCGAACAGCTACGGCGTGGAGACGGGTCGCTAACGAATCGGCGTGAAGAGCCCCGTTTGGATGGCTTCGGAGCTTCTGAAGTAGACCCAGCTTTACCTGCTTCGGGCTCTAAAGGTTTAAAGAAGACGCATTCGAGCAGGATTGCAATCAAGCGGGAGTAGAGTTCAACAGAAATGAAGATAAAAGAGAAGAGAAAAGCAGAGCAGAGCAAGGCCACAAAGGATGTTCCAAAGAGAAGAGAGATAAACGGCATAATACAGACAGACCCCAATAGCAATAGGTTACTCCGCAAGAGTTAAGAAGGGAACCAGTAGTAAAGGTTGGACTATCTCTTAGGGTGTATAAGCCTAACCACTTATAGTCTCTGAGGTAGCCTACTACACTAGAAGGTGATAAGATTACCCGCGGGTTGTCCTGATTTCACCTACTTACGTTATTACCGCCAGGGTAGCTACTAGGCTCAAAGGAGTTCCCCGCATATAGTGGTTTTGCACTAGCTAGCATAAACTGCAAGGCCGCTTATTCTAACGCAGTTAGTGGGCCAGAGTCGACCTATGAACATAACAAGAAAGTTGTCCCCAGAAACTAAGAGCTCCATGAACAAGGTGAACAAGGAAAGGTAGGCAAAGAACCGCTGTTGGTGGGGTTCGGCGGCCATATACCCTACTGAATACAAGTGGACAAGGGCTGAAACAAATAGGACGGGTATAAGCATCGAAACCGTCAAGGTATCGAACAGGAACCCCCAAGTAACCTGTAAGTTCTCGGAGTCTACCCAACTACCTAATGTTACTGAAACAGGAGAACCAGCTAGAGCAACCTCATATAAACAAAGGAGTGCCCCAGCCGTGCTCACCACCATAGCTAAACAGCTAATTAAATGGGAACCCGATGACCCTACCTTTCTCCCGAGTACCCCAGATGCAATGGAAGCTAGAAGAGGTAATGCGATAATGGCTAGGTACATAACATGTCTTATACAGGCTACCTGCATCTCTTAGTCTTGCTTTTCAACGTAATCTGTGAGAGCTAAAACTCTAGGCATGACCCCCCAGCCAAGGGCAGATTTTAGGGACTTCCTAGGAAGGAAGAAGAGAAAACTCTGAGAGTATCTAATACTAGAGCCCCATCCAACGCTCTAGACCCCGTCCTAGACATCTACTAGGTCCACCATGGAGAAGAAAGTAAAGGAGTAATTAACACGATAACGTTCATAGAACAAATGGACAAGGGGAGAAACCACAATAGGGTGTAATCAAAGGGACTACCTATTACAAAGAATATTTGAAAGAAAGAAAGAAGTTCACTCCTATATCTAAGAGAACGAATTGTTGGGAGACGAAAAGGCTATTAATCTACTATAAAATTGGGAAAGAGGTTTAATCTTGAAAGCAAGAGGAATAAAAGTGGCAGAAATAGGAGGCCCTAAGGGGGCCTCGGCTTTAGCCCCGCCTTTAGGCCCCCCCAAGGAAACATTAGAAGGAAATGACAATTGTTCGAAAGAATAGCCAAGAATTTAGAGCAAGCGTTCGGGGGCTACGGAGGCAAAGGAGCCGTAGGCCCCGGCTACCGGCGCCTTAGCGCCTCTTCACTTATCTTCTTACCTTCAGGTTCAATTGCCTTTACGATTAGTTAGCCTTAGCTTACGTATATTTCCCTAGGTTAAACCTTTATCCTTCACTGTAACCACTCAAGAAAGAAAGAGAAGGAATTACTAAGAGAAGAGAGATACTTACCAATAAAGATGCTTAATCATTAAGCTACTTAATTACTAAGGTAATTACTACTAAAGCTAATACTCAAAGAGAAGTAGGCAGTAGGAAAGGAAGTTAAGAAGGAAGCTAAAAGCTGTTAGGGGGCTTACGTTGATAGGTTACGGTGAAAGTTCTACGACGATACTTGATACCTCTATGGTACTTAGTTTCTAAAAGAAGGGAGGGAAGAGTAAACCTAATTCTTATAAAGAATAAGGACACCTAAGCCTAGGGGCATCTTAAGGAATAAAAGAAGGATTAGATTGATAAGAAAGATGCTAATCAAAGAGAAGGGTTCAAATTTGAAGAAGAAAGAGCTAAGGTAATTAAAGAAGGAAGCCATTAAGGAAAGAAGGAGTCAAAATTGGAGTAAAATCAGGTTACATTTTGACCCTGATTGTCATGATAACATGAATCTTACCTTTCCTTCTTTACTAAGTAGTTACCTTAAGATAAAGAGGAGTATAGCTCTCTTGAGTAGATGACACTTCAGATGGGATACAAGGGCTTAGTAACACTTTACTCACTTGGTTGGGTTTTTAACGGTAAAAATTAGGTAGTTCCAGAGAGGTAAAATTCACCCTTCCTTTAGGCTTATTTACTAACACTCTTTGCTAATTCCCTCTCTAGCTCTAGTAATATACACGGGAGTAAGACTCGCCTACTTGCTTAGATGTAATTCTGCCTGGGGCCTTAGGGGGGCCTCCAAGGGCCCCAAGGTAAGAGAATAGGGTTCAAACAACGCGAAAGAGGAGGTAAACAGAAGTTCAGCTAAGATGAAATATCAGAGTAACTTAAGAGTCAGGTAAGAGGGAGTTAATAGGAGAGGTTTGAATAAGAATAGAGTTTGGTTCTAACGGAATTAAAGATGGGATAACTTCCTCCTCTGATACTTCCCCTTGATTAGGGTAAAGCTAGGGACAACTTCTCTAAAATAGAACCCATCAATTTGGGATAGTTTAATGATTATGTTGCCCTTGTCTTCCTCTCCAATCTGTTAAGTTCCCATACCTTAAACGATTAATCCTCTCGAATCTGGAGGAAAATGCTGTCGAAAAAGGAAGCCTACTTACAGCACCTGGTTGACCATTGTCATACTGGAAGAGAGCCGGGTCATTATCCGCTCCGATCTGCTTCTAGTCCCACCGTTGAGTCGAGGGATGGCTGGAAGGTGGCGTATCCAGGTAGGGTAATAGCCAAGTGTAAAATGAAAGGATTATGTCATAATCCATGTGGGAAATACTGAATTCCTCTTGGTATGCAAAGGAGCAGCCATAGATCCCCCGGGGGTTTACCCCCTACCATGACCCGAAGAACACCAAAAGAAGCTCTCTCGAAATACAAGGCAAAATCAGCCATTAGGGATGGTGAGCTTAAATGAGCCGCCCTTGCTTGCGGCGGGGGGGGGGCCTTGCTATGGATGCTACCTTACCAACCATACCATGCCAGCGAGTTCCCGGTCTCATTCTACCGGGTAATTGACGAGGAACTTTCGGCTAAGGACTCCCAGTTGGGAAAACCTTAACATCTAGTCTTTTTATACCCTTTTGTTGGGTAGGCGCTAAGGCGCCGGTAGCCGGGGGGTACGGCTCCTTAGCCTCCGTAGGCCCCGAGGCAACTAGTAAAGAATTCATTGGATTGTTAAGGGTAGGGGCTAAAGGCCGGGGGGTTTAGGGGCCCCCCCGGGGCCTTTAGGGGGTTCATATAAGCCCCGGTTTAGCCCCCCCGGCCACTACTAAAGAGGCAAAGAGGTCGGCTTAGCTTAATTGGTAAAGCGTTCGTTTTGTAAGCGATAACTTGGGGGTTCAACTCCTCTAGCCGGCTTGTTTCATGGATAAGGAACATCTTACCCCGTAATCAATTGACCCTTCTGAATCTTACATGGTTTCTAAAGAAGGAACTACCATAAAGGGTATAGCCGTGTAGAAGGGGGTAGTTAAGAGTGGATTCTTAACTGTTGAGGTGGTTAAGAGGAGGGGTGAAAGTTCGTTCTCTTTAGAAGAGGCAACCAATGAAATCGAACCTTTGTGGTTCACTACTCCTTGCTTATCCTTATTTCACCTATTTAGGAGGGGGGGGAAATTGTAGTTGATTCTAGGGGTAAAGGGCGGGCTTCTCTGAAGCCGGGGGCTCCTTGGAGGCCCCCCCTAAGTAGAATTCTAAAGGCAGATAGCGATAGAAGATGGGATTAGATAGGCTTAAAGGATACACGACATCGTTTGCCTTGGTACTTGCTAGGGGGGCCTTTAGGGGGCCGGGTTGCTATGGTTGGTAAGGTAGCATACCAACCACGCCTGGTTAGCAAATGAATGCATAAAGCTAGCCCCTCATTACTAACCTCGTACAACAATCTTGGCATTATAGGCAGGACGAGCTGCCTTAGCGGCCAACTGCTCTACTTTCCTCGGTCATCTTTTTCCCTTTGAAGAACTGAATTTTGCCCGAGTTTCCTCGCTCTTTGGGTTGCCTTTGTGAGCATCTGTTTCAGTTCAAAGTTTGCAAGCCATGGTAGCAAGGCGAGAACCGGCTACTTTTATGCTAGCAAGGGAAGTAGCGAATTCGGAGGTAAGGGAGTAGAATCTCCCAATTGCCATTGAAGCTCTGGAGGTAGAGCATGCCACTGTTAATGGCAAGGACCAGGGATCGACTCCCTGCAATGGCTTCCCTTGGCGATCGCCTTGGAAGGGTAGGGTTAAAAGAGGAGTAGCTGCAAATCAGCACCCTGGCCTGGAACCCAGTTTTAAGGAAAGGGGATAAACGCCATTGTTTTGCGGGCTTCTCTGAAGCCGGGGGCTAAAGCGGGCCTACGGCCCCCCCCCAACTTGGAAGTTGCCAACAAGAGATGTCAAAGCAGTAGTCAATACTTCGTGTAAACCTATTACATCCCTTTTAAGGGACTTAAGAGTCTCTACTTTGGCATCCCAAGGGTTAGCTTGAGTATTGTACTCCTCGGAAGGATTTCCCTTCACTAATATTTGATATCGGGACTAGTCCAACGTAGTCTACCGTTTCAGGCGTCATAAACCCGTAAGGAAAAGGCTGCTTAAGTGTAGCTAGCCTATATGCTTTACAGGTCTAGGGAAGAAGCTAAATCAAGATGGAATCACAGTAAAGAGTGCTGTAATTATCCCCTTGTATTTTACCCACTGTTTAGGTAATTCAACGAGAGTTGTGCACCAGGGGAACACGAAGAGTGGGTCTAGAGCCTGTAAGGCAAAGAGAGCATCAAAGCGTGCGCATAACTGCGCGTATACGCATGTCTTATCTTGGGCATGGCCGCCTACGGAACCCCCGCCCCATTGAATCTGATATCCCGGGGGGGGATGGTTCACTTGGGTAATTGGGATTAACTTACTCTTTCTATCGGGTAGAGGTATCGATCCTCTATCTGAGGGTTTGGTAGGGTAGCAGTATCCGGAGGAGGGGTTGAACCTCCAATTCGTGGTCATGACCCACGCGTACTGCCATTATACTATCCGGACTTAGGTCAAAGGGTTACTTTGACTCGTATAGCGAAGGCTACTTCGCTTGTAATTGAGAAAGCTACTTATGGGCGTTGCCTAGCCCTTTAAAGCCAAAGGCTATTCCACTAGGGGGACTAGGTATAATGAAGAGAGCGGGGAAATTATAGGGTGTATACGACCACCATTATTATAGCCCGACAGGTGGCGCATCGAAGCAGGAATATGTGCTTCCACGAGATGCTATACCTTAGCTACTTCTCTTTTAGGTATGCGAATAACATACTGCCCCCTTAGCTCTAACGCCAACATAGTGGGATGACTCAATGAGAAAATTGACTTGAAAGAATAGAACGTAGTTGCTTCATCTAAGGGGTGACTCTCTCTTTCTTGAACTCTTGCCATTTTTCTACGTATTGTCTAACAATACTGTTCCTGTAAGAGTAGGCTTCCTTCTTTTGTTCCTTTGTATCCAGTTTTCTTGGAGTTATTGGACTGTTTCTTAGAGGCTTTGGATAGTCTCACTAGCTTTCTTTCCTCGATTTTCGAGGTTGGATTCTGCCTCCTGAATGCGTTCTTATTGTCGTTGAATAACGAGTATAGCTTGTTCTAATTCCTCTGACTTTGTTTGCATAACTCTCTGGGTTTCTTCGTGTCTTTTCTGCTCTTCATTGATGTCTCCCCATTCTTGCATGTCGAGGATATACCCGTCAATTCCTTCGATGAATCCTTTGGCCGTTAATTTCCTTAGTGAATTCCTCGATTTCAGTGTTCTTGCTTGGCTACTTAGTTGCCTAGAACTTTTGGAGTATACCTCATGGTATACTCCTTTCTTCGAAAGTTCGGGCTATTCTCTAAAGGGTTCTTTCTTCCTTGGAAGAAACCTCCTTTTATTGTCTATACAATAAAGTATGCCTTTTCCCTAGGCCTTCGCTATTTACTATACTATATAGTCCTTGATATTGCACTCTGTGCTTTTTTACCTACTCTTTTCCTGAGAAGTTTATCTACTTGATTTTAAGGCAAGAGTTAATGTTGCCAGCCACAGTCCCGTGGCTGGCTCTAATTCTTCGCTTGCTAGGTTAAGCTTCCATTCTTTCCTTCCTCTAATCTCCCCAGCCTTCAGCTCTAGTTAAGACTTAGAATCTCTTATTCAAGATATCTTAAAGGATACCCCTCGATTCCTTTCTTAAATAGGAATTCCCCATGGCCCCCGTTTGAGTAAACTCATGTTGCCATTAGACGATTTCCCGTCAATAATCGTATCTTGGCATCAAGTTCTTGCTTTTCTCTGGAGGACCTAGGGTTCGTGCTTAGGATTGAAGGTAATTCCTGGGTGACTCTCGAGAGAGCGATGGTTCTCTGTAGTTAGGATAGAAACTACAGTACCAGTCGTCTTAAGACGGGGGGGCTTCAGATAACCCCGGGCTTTAGGGGGCCACCCTTAACAGAACTGTTTGGTTAAGATGGCTTCAAGCGTTGGACTGGGGTTTGAATTTTGGCAATCCGTTATCCCATTAAGTACACCTAACGGTGTACTTGGACGGAAATGAAAGAAAGCGTGGTTGGGGCTTTCTGGCTTCCCTTGTAGGGAGTTGTCTTCCTTTGTCTGACTGGATATCCTCCTTTTTGGTTGACAGGCTTGATATATGGTCAAGATGGTTCTGGGCGTTGGATTGGAGCCCAGTTCTGGTCTGGTCTGGTAGGGGAGTACGCCCGGGGATACCCCCCTGGGTAAATATGATCCTCTTCTGAATAGCGCTGATATGAACCGTGGTTGGGGGGTACTTGCATCACGTTTGTGTCGAACTAAGTATTGTTCAATCTTACACACTCTTTCTTACAGATTACGTTGAAAAAGACTAAGAGATGCAGGTAGCCTGTATAAGACATGTTATGATGAACCTTCTTTATGTATGGCTATATAGCTTTGTTACTTCCCCTATTATTCTTGATATAGGAGAATATCTCCTTAGGTGTTGGGAAAGCGGGGTTCTTATGAATTGTCAGATGTTTATCATCGACCGGGAGTTGGCAACTGGTCCTTCCTCGGTTTCAATGGTGGCATAAAGGATTTCACCTCTTACCATTTAGGCTTACCCATGGAGAATAGCTTAAGAGCTACTGCGCACAGTTATCCTGTTTTCTCTCATCTCATGGAGAAGTTTGTCTTTCTCTATATCCTATTGGATAATGGAATTTGGCTGGCCCCTCAGACCACGGTGAAATTTGCCGTTTATCCTTCGACCGAAGGGGGTTTAGTTTATTGGCCATTCTTGCTCTTCTGGGTTTACTGTGGAATTTGCCTCATGGGTTATTGCTTACGTGCTGTTTCTAACTAACAGAACCTTCTTAAGGTTATCCTCTCCCCTCGAAACCAATCAGCAAAAGAGAAATGTCTCAAACGAGAGCCTTGGTAGCTTACTAAAGAGTAGAGGGAATCGATTCAATGGGTTAAATTGAACCGGTGATTACTGGCAATACTCCTCTTGATTGACAAGTATCCTATGTGAATTGGATTCATGGTTCCTCGCTGGCTTTATTCAACCAATGCTAAGGATATCGGGACTCTTTATCTTATATTCGCCCTGTTTGCAGGTATGATTGGGACAGCCTTTTCTATGGCCATTCGGCTAGAGTTAGCAGGGGCAGGGATACAATTCCTTCAGGGGGAACATCAGTTATACAACGTAATCATAACGGCCCATGCCTTCCTAATGATATTCTTCCTTGTAATGCCGGCGTTAATAGGGGGCTTCGGTAACCTGTTTGTTCCTATTCTAATCGGGGCTCCAGACATGGCAGCCCATTCTTAAGAAGTCTACCCTTATCTCTATTCAGGTTTACTGTACTACTCTTCCGACCCATTAAAACGGCTCTTTCCTGAGAAGCTGGGACAAAAGTTAGATGAGCTCCTTATAGGGAGAGTTAGGTTACTACTTACCCGGGCTTTTCGAGGCTGATGGGCATATTTTGCTGCGTCTTCAGGGTCGCCCCAATTCTGTATCACTTGTCTGACCTCCCACTAGCAGAGAAACTTTGGCGCTCATTGATTGTGGTTTATCCGTATTAAAGTTGAAGGGTTGTGTTTTAGGTGTTTATAGCATAAATGCCTTAGGGGTAGGGGCGCCGGGCGGTTCAACTTATCAACGGTAAACTTAGAACCCCTAAGATTCACCAATGAAACAAACTTATCAACTGGTTAACCCCTCATGTTAAAGTGCCTCTTATCCATCTTCCCTTAGATACCGCTCCTCTAGGTTGTAACGGTTTCCCGGCTTCATCGAAGGCGATGGTGGCTTCCAAGTGCGCTTCACGGGAGCCTGCTAACTCTCCAGAGACTGGGAAAAACCGTAAAGGCCGGATAGAAATTACCTTACATCAGCGTCAGGTAGACCCTAAGACCGGGAGAACTTATGAACCTTTACTAACCTGTATTGCTAATTTGCTAACTTGTGGTTTGTTCTACGTGACTCATCATATAACCCACCTGTTAATTCCTATTGCGTTGAAACTAGCAGCGTTGCCTCAAACCAGCTTCTGGTTGAGTATTTGTCACGATTCCCTAAATGAGCTCTAAGCGTCTGAACTTTGAGGATTGGGCTAAAGTACACCAAATGAACCTATCTAAGGCTAAGGAGCACCTTGCTGCTGAAGGCAAGGCAATCATTAAGCAGCTGAAAGCTGGGATGAACACAGGCCGGAGTAGCTTTACATGGGAGCATCTGGATGCTTATTCGGAATAATAGTTGAGTTTCCCATGATAGTAATGATATTAGGGTAGACTTTCTTTGAAATGCCATTCCGGTAAGCAATTACCGGTTAACATACTCCTATATGCTTGGAAACTTTACCCTTTGATAGATACTTTACAAGTCATAATCACCCAAAGGATGATGAGATAAGGTTACCAGCAGGGAACTTCTGGGATTGAGGCAAGAACCCTCAGAGACTATAAGGGTATATCCCGGGGGGGGGCTTCAGATAAGCCCGGGCTTTAGGGGGATCCTTTGGATCCCGCTTTACCCCCCCGCCCGGGCTCCTATGGATGAACCGAGCCTAAAGGCTCGGCGGCCTTGAGGCGGGAGTTGGCCCTGGGATGAAGGTATAGTCCAACCTCAAATAGGATTTTGAGTCTTACTGATTTCCCCGCCTTAATAACATAAGCTTTTGGTTACTGCCACCAGCCTTAGCCCTTCTGCTAGCCAGCAGCTTAGTAGAGCAAGGTAGTTGTTACTGCCCGGGATCCAAAGGATCCCCTGAACATCGCTATATGCTGGGAAACCTTAGAGCCCCTGATGCCTGTCATCGCCTCCACGAGGCCTTTTCGCAATAAGGCGACTGTGTCTTACTTCGGTAGGTTGGAGAGCCTTGGGGTGCTCATAGGCCTATTGCACATGTTATAGCCATTGCACCATCGGTGTCGGTATCAACCTAGTGGGTTGGTTACGGGTAATCAGCAGGAAACCAACATGAGTTAGTAGGCTACCTCAGAGACTACACGCGATGCACCAAATTACGGTGAAGAGATAGTCCAAGTACGGCCTCTTAAGATTAGAGGCAGTGCAGATAAGCTTTGTCACTCTGAATCCCCACTACGCCTGAAATAGGCTTTATTAGGAGGTTCTTTGGCTTGGTAGTTGGTAGCAAGGCCTCATGGATGCCCATTGTAGTCCCCGAAAACGGCTTCCTAAGACTAAGAAAGAGCCGGCAATAAAATGAGCTTTCACAAAGATGACTTACCATTGGCTTGCTAGTTGCTGCATAATAAGCTCAATGAGTTAATAGGGGGTGGTAGAATTTCACATACTAAAGCTAACTACGTAATTCTTGCTTGAGAAGACGTCAAATCCATACACCGAATCCTCTCTCTCATCAATGGTGACATGTGTACTTAAGGTCCTAAGATAGAAGGCCTACACCGGGCCATATGCTGGCTAAATGAAGCCACTACTTACTCTCTGCCTTTATTACCCTTGGACACTTCCCCTATTCTTAGGTTGGGTGTCAGGTTTTATAGACGCTGACGGTAGCTTTACCATCTCTTATAGCCTTAACCCTCTAGGTTTGTGCTGCTCTATTCGCTTCAAAATAGAGCACCGTGCTACATACCACAGAGGTGACGAGCATGCTTATCTACCTATCCTTATCCTGTAACACCGCATAGCCCAACCACTTAGGGTAGAGGCAAGTTTCATCACTCGGGCAAAAGAATACGGGAGCTATAATAGGATTCAGGTTCGGACGACAAGTAAGGGGGCCAATTCTATCGTACTAGCTTACTTTACTCCCTATACCCCTTATTCTCATCTAAGCACCTCAACTTTAAAGCATGGGATGGGCTACAGTTCATGATATGATTCTTCATAAAAGCTAACAAAAGAAGGTTCCCAATTGCTTAAGCTTCTTGCCAATGAGATGAATCTGAAGCCGGGGGGCTCCTTGGGGCCGCCTAAAGGCCCCCGGAGGCCTTGGGTTCATCTAGACCAGCTCTATACTAGTTAATTGTAGTGGGTTCAGAGCCTTTTTTGCATCGTACTTGAGTGGGACTGGTTGGACAGTATTACTCATATGCTGTCCCTGTATGGTTAACATACGGGTTAATAAACTCCACTCGATGCGGGGAGTTCCCCAACCCTAAGGAGAGAACTACTGATAGCCTGGATTGGAATCGTCATTCTAAGCCTCATCCGGATTTAAGTGCAGCTTCGGATGATAATCAGCTATTATGTCATAAAGTGATCGACAAGGGGAATATCCGCCTGTGAGACTGCTAACCTCTCACATCAGAGACCCTACGTGGAGCAACCAGGTTCTAGAGATTGGTTTTCACAATGGCTAGTAGGCTTTAGCCTAGGTCGATTTCGCTCCTGGCAACATAGGCGTCGCATGGTAGCAAGGGCGAAAAGCGATGGTATCATCATAAAAGGTGGTTCTTATTGGTAGTTGTCTTTTGAGATACGTAATCTGATAATACTTGAGTATATCAACTCCAATATTGGTCGTGGTAAAAAGGAATCCTCACAGCGGAGGGGGTAGATTATCGTCTAATCAGAGAGAGAAGACTCTTGATCTCGCCCAGAAGGTGAACGCCTTGTATAAGGCGTATAATTGGGTTAGGTATAGGACTCGACTCTTATGCTTGCTCCTTTGCATAGCAAAGGCAATGAACGATATCCCCACGGTTTCCATATAGGTCAAAAGGGCAATAAAGTGATAAGGGTATTCAAGCTTTCCTCCATCCAGAGTCTTTAACCGCAAAGAAGGAAAGCATTATGAGATAAACACTACCCACTCAAGATATGTTGAGAACATACCCCCTTTAATGCTATCCTTTAAGCTTCCTTGCTAGCATGGCGAGCATCGTCTCAGGGTGTGAAAAGATTGGAATTCCCAATCTGGGCTCGTTCTATTAGCTAGAAAGCTAAAGTAGCCAAAGCAGTCTCGCTAAAAGGGCGAACCAATCTTAAACCTGGTTGAAGGGCGAGTCCGAACACCGTGGTAACATGGTGCGTGTACCGATACTCTTCTGGGATTCTTAAGTAGTGCCTCCTTAGTATCAGGGCCTACTTTCACCTCAGAAGACGAGGGTGTCTAACTTAATGGTATCCTCCTCTAGCAGGGACCCAGTCACACTCTGGAGGGTCGGTGGACCTTGCTATATTCAGTCTTCACCTTGCTGGTATATCTTCCATGCTCGGTGCCATGAACTTCATTACGACCGTATTGAACATGCGGGCTCCTGGTCTATTTTTACACCGTATGCCCCTATTCGCTTGGGCTGTATTGGTCACTGCCGTACTCTTGTTATTATCCTTACCTGTCCTAGCTGGTGGGAGTGACTGCCCTTTGGTCGAAGTCGTATTCGGCCTTTGTAATCGGGCTATATGCTGGGACAGCTAGGCTACGCCATGGTACTATACACAGGCTTATAGTCCTTTGCTATTACCGGCTAATCAGCAGGAAACCCTTTAGACATGGGCATCCCTAGAGAATATACGCCTGTTCTCTCGTGTGGTTACCTCTTGGGCATAAATCTAGGTTATCTCTGTAATTAGGATTACGTTCAAAAGCAAGAGTCAGAGATACAGGTAGCCTGTATAAGACATGTTATGATGTATCATCCAATACGCTAAACGAGTCTACTACAGCCCCTTTGCTCAAAAGCAAGTTATCTCTAAGGAGAATCGAGGGGGTTTACGCCCTAGTGAATCTAGTAAATGGGCCAATTTACATTGGTAGTAGTGTGAATCTGGGGGTATGTTTATTAGCTTATGTGCAGTACCTAATACGTAACGCTACTTTGCTTATAGTAAAAGGTATAGTTACATACGGTATCGCTAATTTCGTATTCGTGGTCTTGGAGACTTGCCCCGGTTGCTTGCGGGGGGCCTTGCTATGGCCCCTTCCCTCTCCCTCTAGGGCCCCGGCATACACTACTTTCAAGGTAGCCCAGTTAGAGTATCTGCCGGCATGCTTATGCCACTCAATTCAGCCACCTGTAAATATGCCCACCTGATAGGAGAGATAACCCTAAAAAGGTGGGGTGTAAAGCACCCCGGGATAAACAGCATTGGTTACCGTTGAAAACCAAATGTAATAGCCTTGTGGATTCGCTTAGATACACAGGCTTTCCTAAAAGGAAGCCATTGCCCTTGTTTGGTAGCATACCAACCACGCCTGAATCATGTTATGCCGGTAGCAAGGAAACGAGTAAAGAACCAATACTCCCCTCATTAGTGGTCTCATATAACAAGAGCTCCTTGGTTGTAGCTGAGGGATTACCAAACATAGGATTCAGAGCCCCCTGTTTATGCTTGGTACTTGCGGCTTGGTAGTTCCGGCTTGGGATGGTTGGTATGCAAAGGAGCAGCCATAGATCCCCCGGGGCTTTAGCCCCTAGCATAGCAACCATAGCAACCATAGCAAGGCCCCCCGCAAGCAACCGGGGCAAGTCTCCAAGACCACGAATACGAAATTAGCGATACCGTAT